AGGTCTGTACGACTACCAAGCATGATGCCTCCCCAAACGAGAACACCGCCACCTCCATACCTGTCCCTTTCAATGATGTTCGAGGGATGATTGCGGCTTCCCCGCTCTCTCCAGATGAGTATGCGATGAGAATCGCTACTCAGACTGAATCTGCTCTCATCTGTAAAGAGTACTCGTCCCCATTCATTGTCTCTCCAATTCCGGTGTTCCCGGCACCACAGAGAACGCCTTCTTCGATGGGCAGGCGTTAGAGGTACACACCGTACAGGGCGTCGTGCAAACAGACCACCACCGTGCAGTCTTCTGGCCACGGTAAAACGCGATATCGGTCGTCCAGTCGCTTGTGTCGTGTGTCTAGCGATTTCTCCCGCTGTCTGCCGCCTGTTTCTTCTGGCCTGTAAGGCAATATACCGGTCCTCTGCGGGTGTGGTTCCTCGTGGACGACCACTACTAAAGCCCCGGATAGCTGTTCCTGTAGTTTGAAATTGTCTCCAAAGTCGTGAATCGATGCTGTGAGCAATTCCGAACTCTGCAGCCAGACTTGTCACACTGCGGCCTTCCTCCAACTTCCCAATGATTCGACCTCGGGTAAAAGCATCCAGATGTCGTCTAACAGATTGATTATTCGCCATTTCTCGCTGAGGCAGCAACTCGGTGTGATTTTAACTGCTATACGGCGTGCAATCTCTTTGCCAGAAATACTGATCTTACACCGACAACATGCTTTATACTACTCAGACACTCCCTCATTACGTCTACCTGCATATCTGCGCATGTGCTACCGTACATCACCTTACTTAATCTCCTGATTGGTCTTTCTGTCCGCTCTGCCTCTTCGTTCAGCTGATATGCTAATTTTTCGACTTCGTCCTTAATTTTTGCACACCAGTGTAGTATGGAAGCAGTCATGAAAGAATAGTGCATTGTGTGCCAAACGTTTTCTTGCTGAAAAATAACCTACTGATGCTAAGTAAGAACAGTAACTAAAGTGGTATCAGTAAATGTCGTACATATTCTGTTGCAAGCAAAGGAGAATGGATATTTTACAAGTAAGATCTGTTTACCTTGAACTCCAGATTGGTTAGGAAAAAAAAAAAAAAAAAAAAGGATTGATTATGTATGTTAAAACAAAAACATGAATTAATATTAGTTTCTAAATCACAATAGATAAATAAAAAAATTATTAAATGTATATTTTTTGATCAAGACGAGCTTTTTGACAAAATTTGGCGGAATTTTGAAATTTCGAAAAGACCCAAATGACGTTACATCTCCAAATCTAATTACATTTACATATTTTCAACTGTCGACATACATTAAAACTATACATAGATAGTGCAGATATATTTTTAATATTGCGTAATTTTAAAGCTGAATATTTTGTACATTTAGATTTGCATTTGAAACGCGTGCTGGAGATTTTTACAATTCTTTAACTAACACTTTTATTCAGCTCGGTATAGCTTTCGAAAAATAATTATTATTAATATTATTTTGACCAATCGTGTCATCTGCATAATACATTTAATCCGTAATCAGCGTACTGATTGTTGCATGAAACACATAGGGAGTTAAAATTAAACTGCCTTATATAAAGTCGGTTCTGGTTGACGCATTTTGGTGAAACTTGGTATATACACTATATGGATATTGGTTAAAAGAATACGGCAATAAAAAATAATAATTCTAATTTTGACCATTAGATGGATGTTTTCAAGCAGTGCAGAAAGGACGTCATGCAAACTGGGAACTCTCTAGTAGTCAATGCCCGAGCAGCCATACTCTCTATCGGAAATCGAGACAACCGTTCTCACCCGGCGCATGAAATTAATCAAATCTGTAAAGATCTCAGTACTGAAATAACCGTAACTTAGATCAAAATGCACAGCGGCAACGTTGGCAAATTTACAGCCGACAATCTGGGAAAAAAACAACAGCTCTTTCCCAAGAAGGCGAGTTCCTTAACATCAAGCTTTCAGAATCGCAACTACGACAAATCCTAAACAAACATCTAAGCCATGAGTAGAAAGAAGAGTGGAATAATGCTACAACAAGCCGGCGCACTCACCAATTCTTCCCGAAAATCGGCACAGAAATCAGAAGCTCAAAATCATGAAGAGTATCCAAAAATCATGAGGGTACACCAAAAGCTCAGTGCTCTAGGACTAGACCTATGCCAGGTCACACCTTAGGACTTAAAATGAAAAATCGGAAAGAGCAATGTCTACGCTGCACCGAATAATTAACTCCGAGTAGCATTAACAATTTTCATAATGCTTCAAAACACCTAACTTACTGAGCTGAAACCATGAACTTTATTTATGAACTTTGGACTAAAAGATCTGAACTCAGTACACTCTTACCTATAACCAATATCCTCACATAACAAGAATCAGACTCCCAATATAAGCAAAATCAAATCCCATATGTTTATCCACTTACATAAAAATGCAAAATTTTTAGTGCAGCGATATCCAAAATATCAAATCTACTGTATTGAAGAATTTCGAAGTCAGTTCGTAGCTTTGTTCAATACAAAAAATTCTTCTAACTTACCAATATTTAAAAAAAAAGCAAAAAAAAAAAAAAAAAAAAAAAAATGCAATATAAACTTAAATTAACTTATATATCGTATATAATCTGCAGTACAAAACTTTATAATATAAAACTTAAAATAAATTTTTTAAAGTTTCTTAAAAAGTTTATGTATTTGTTTCTTTACAAAAATGTACATGAATACCTACATTATTGCATTAATGTTTATTTTCTTGTATCACAACGAAAATTTCGAACCCAAAATTTTGAATAATTTCATGTTTCACGAAATTAACATATTTGCGAAGCCGTTGTGTTTTCATATACGTTTAGAGTGCGCGCTTTCAATAGTCTTTCAGAACCTGCGAAAATACTTTTTTCTCTGCTGTTGGTTCATGTCAATGGATTCACGATACTTTTTCTGTTAATTTTCTGCGTATGAGTTAGTTAAATACTTAAGAATATATTTATAGATAATTTATGTTAATTTCTCTGGTTTATCTACCAGAGAAATCTTCAGAATTTGGGGAAATAAATATTTATTTTCTTCACGAAAATGAAACTGATACGTATTCCTTAATTTTTTATTATTTAGAGTATTGGCCAATTTACGAGGAAATGCTGAAATTTTTGTTTTTATTAGGCATTCATATGAATTTCGATGTTTCAAATCTTTCATATAACTGTAATTTTTTTACTCCAGTAATTAGAAGACGAGTTGAGTAAACGTAAAATATGCAGGGCATGAAGTAAAAATTTTGAACTAAAAAGGATTTTTTTTAATTATACAAGTTATTCACAAGCGTGTATCAATTTAAATTTTTTTTTAAATTGCCTACTATGTTGGATCATATTACATAAAGTTGATTTCAATAGTGGCTGCTATGTATGATGGTTATGTATGATTTTATTTGCTATCCATAAAAAATTGAATGTCAGTCGCTCTCAAATAGCTGTAGGCATTCAATGTTAAATAAAGTTTGAAATGAGTCTTTCAAGTTAGAATGAATGTGTTGAAACTTTTAAGTTAACTTTCATTTTGGATCATTATTAGGAATTAATGTCTATATTCCTTGTTGCGCCTATGCATGATTTTGTTTGCTAAGTACGAGATATTAAATATAAAATATTCTCAAAATGCTTTAAGCGTTCAGTGGTAAATAAAATAATGTCAATTTGAAATGCGTATCTTTTAGCTTAAGTTAGAATGAATATGTTAAAGTGGTTTAAGACACATAAAAAATTATAATGATACGTGTCGTAAAAATGTTCCAAGCTGAGGCAAAGGGGATAAGCTTTCATTTCCTGCCTGAATATTAATTCCACGTGTATTATAAATTTCTTTTTAGAGTTTTATCTCACAAATGTGACTGTAATTCGAATTTAAAATAATGCGTGACAGTGTTGATATTCTTCTCTATAGTTAAAAATAATTCGACCTCTTGTAACCTTGTTAAGAAAGTCAAGGCTGTGATAATTTCGAATACTGTAGTGTTTCTGGGTTATCCAAAAAGGCAGTGGCGGCACATCAAAGGTTTTCTTCTTATGTCATCTGCCGTTGTATTAACGGTTTCCGAACTGCATCCTTTGCGCTTACTACTTTCATGCATTACAATGAAGATTCGATAATGCAGGAACTCAGATTGCTCAAATTTGAATTCGAGAACGTAGTTACAAAGAGGGAAAAGCATCCAGATCATGCTTACAATTGTCCTGACTTAAAATCTTCTCGAAGATCGGAGAATTGAGATCTTCAAAGGTGTATCGAAGAACACGAACTAAGTTGAAACATCCTTCGTGGCTGACAGCAACGGATAGACCACAGGGACTTAGCAATTCAGGTTAAGTAGTACAAGTTTGGTCTTCAGGCGGAAACTGTTGCGTTATGGCAACTCTCTTACGTACTAACGATTACTTGAAAAATAAAAGGACGACAATAAAGGTTTTCTCGGAGAACAAGAGTATTCTGAAAGTGTTAAACAGTAGTACAAACGCATAGCTCCTAATCAAGGTACTAAAAAAATCTATTTAATAATTTTTATTAAATTTTTAATAATAACTCGTATATTAAATATGTAATAAAAAATAAATATAAATTTGTTCGTATAGTTTAAAATTTTATTTTTAATTTTAAATAAAGAAAGGCTGTTTGTAATTTTCTAAAAACTATGAATTCATATTATTCCCGTACTTCAGCAATTCAAATAAATCATTAATAAAATAAAATTATAAATAAACTGCTTCCATAACATAGGTTTAAAAGACTCTTTATTCATTATAATTTTCGACAAGTACAGAAGACTTTCAAAAAAAAAAAAAAAAAAAAAAAAAAAAACCCTCCCTCTTTTCGAAAATATTTTTTAACTGTAGCTTAGATGTGCTTTACTTCAATTATCGTAAATCAAAATTATTTAAAGAATGCTATGAAATTCATAGTTTCAAGCTTGATTTTTCTGTCTTTACAGGCGCCTTCATTTGATGCAGCCAAATAATATGCACTGCAGGAAAAGTAGGAGTTGGAGTAAAATGTAACGTTATGAATATCTAGTAATGACCTAGAAAGAAAGGTAAGTAATATGTAAATAAAAAACAATAAAAATTTACCATATATTTTTATAGTTAAATATATACTTTTAAAATGAAATTGATTTAAAATTATTTAATTGCACATAAGGAATTTGAGTTAAAAATCCGAAATTTGAACTATCGTTTATCGTTTGGATGCAAGAAGTATACAATGAAAATATTTAAACAACTGTGTTAGGTTGAATTAATCCTTTCAGTTTTATGAGTTCACCAGCGGCCGAGCGGTAAAGTAGCTGAATACTGGTAGTTTAGGCCAAGTGTCGAATCCGGTGAACAGGCTGCCTGCATCTGCCTTTAGTGGCTTTCCCTATGTGTATATGTCTCAGTTTCCCCTAGAAAGTCCTCCGCGAAAACTTCCCTGATCTTAGGCAGATAGCTCTTGAGGCTTTGGCGTAATCACATAAACAAAACCAAACTTATCGTTTTATGTAGCTCTCCACAATGGAGTATTTCGCTGCTAAGCAGATCGTAATTGTTTCCCTTAATAAATGTAAGTACAATTTCTTAGCACTTAAAAAAAAAAAAAAAAAAAAAAAAAAAAAAAAAAAAACCTGGTATACTATGCTCTTAGTCTAGGTCTTTTATTAAAAAAAATGTATATAAAAAATGATAATGGATTGCATTCGTTTCCTAATATCTTCAGGAAAGCTGACTTATTATGGTGACTTGACGGCTTTTTAATGTCTTTTGATAATGAAGCTGAGAAAAATAACACTTAGACTCAAAATGATGCCAACCGCTGAATCGCATATTCATGTGTTCAAAAATTATTTAGGAACAAATATCATTTTACAGGGCTAAAATAAGATCATCCATATCTTGATGTTAACTGATAGTTCACCGGACTGGAATATTATCGTGCATAGTACTTTAATATCTGATTTACAAATAATGTTATGATTCATATAAGCTGATAACCAGTTGCATATAACTTTATTAGTCATTCTGTATGAATTTAGTCTCCTTTTTGTGTAATATTAATAAACAAAGAATAGGTTTTTACCATTAAATTTCTTAGATTAGAAATTAAATGGAAATGCCTTTTTTTAAATTGAATCTTGTCTTCAAAAAAGTGGAACAAAATATTTTTACTATAAAATGCTAATTATTTTCTATGCTATTTAAGATGTGCGTAAAACGAATAAAATGCGTATTGAGTTCAAATTATTCATATTCAGAGGTTACATAGAAATCACATCTTCCATATAATGTGAAGATTAGTGTAGATAATTAAATTGTGGCAAAAGATTTGACGTCAACGCGTATGGGGAGGATACATCCAAGAAAGACCTTCTTAAGATTATCTTATGAACCATAAACTCAGTAATTTGTAGAGATCTCATTCTGAATCATGAATTACAAATTATTTCTGAATTATTGAACAAATTACTTCTGAAAAAAAATGAGTGTGAGAAAGGCTAATTAATGTGCTTTGTTTTATAGTATTATTCTTTTCAGTTACAGCTAGAAAGTGTCATAGAAACAACAAGACATTAGAGCCATAGTCATCTCTGTTAGTTTTTCCATATACGTCTGAGTCGCTTCAATAACGTTCACTCCATATCATTTCAATAGTGTTCATACCGTCACTGTGGCTAATTTCCCCCCGCATTTCCAGTTGCGCTCCTTTTTCAGGTCCTGTGTTCCACTATCACCAATGGTCTTCTTTCATTCCCATTTACAAATGTTATATCTTTATTATTAGGTGATAATCTTCGTCATTGGTAATCCATTCTTGTGCGTCATCATGGTTCACACTTTCACATCTGAAATTTGTAGTGGAGCCGAAATTAAAACTGTCATTATATTTCCGAGTCATTCTAGGATCAACTACACTGTTTCTTTAGGTTCAAAAAGCAACTCCCTCGATGACTTCGCAATAGTTTGTGGTGCAGTTTCTTTCCACGATTCAGCAATCCAGTAAATCACAGCTTTCGAATAAAGGTTTCGAATTTTTTTTTGACAACTCATTTCCGTCTTCAGTCGCCTTGATAAGAAACGTAAGAAGCTTACCGCCGAAGTTTTTTAAGAAATCCAAGAAACCTCTCATCCATTGGCTGACATAAAAAAGTATTAAACTGGGCGGAAGGTAATTTGCTGTGTCCTCGCTATTAAATCCTAATCGTCGAAATGAAATAACGGATTACTGAGAAGGTAGGCTGAAAACCTCGCAAATTTACCCAGCGAGGTTAAAAATTTTTTAACAGAAAGAAAAAACTTTGAGGAAAACCAGATTTTAAAAATTTTTGTATTCGCTCTCGCAGTTCTTACGAAACTGTCATAGCTGGGGCAAATGCTTCAGTGCTTGTGGTTTGTGATTTTCTTGGCTTTCCAATTAAGATAAGTTTAATTTCGTGGCTACCCACAGCACTAATACAAACCGAAATAGAGAAGTCCACTCGTTGCATTAAAGAACCTCCTTGCATCCAAGAAATAATACTTCAGCATGGAAAGGAACTGATTCTGAAAGAAGCGTATTATAAATTTAAGCCTTTTTTGTCCAGTTTTATACCTGGTCATCTGATAATCCTTCTTTATCAACGAGGTTATGAATCAGGAGTCTGAAATTAATTACCTTTGTTTCCCAATGTAAGTAATAAGCTGCTCATTCCGTACTGCTTATTTTAGCGATCCAGCTAGTCTAAACATGCTAGAAAATCATGCTGGTCTTTATTTAGCTGTTTCTGGAAAAGTAATGCATTTTCTTGAAAGATGGCACTCTCTAGATGTATGCCTTTCTTCTTTTTCTCAGTGAACAATGCTTCACTCATCTTCTCATTGTTACACGTTTTCACTGTTTTAGTCTCTTGAAATATTTTTCCAGTCCCTTTCTAGTCACCAGCAATTACTGTTCCAGTGGACAAATCAATACCAGTATTTTGTATGACATTCGGTTGTAGACATTCGGGATTGTTTCGTTTGCTTTTCACTTGACAATTCTTATTACATTACAAAAAAAACAAAACCCTGGATTAAAAACATACGTTTGAAATAGCGTAGAACCAAAGAATTAAACAGAGTATTAGCAACTAACGCCTGTGGACGTTTTAGGAATGAATCTGCTAGGATATTGTCCGTGTAAGTAATCAGTAAATTTGCTTACACACCGATGCGACACATTTAGATATTTCTTGGGATCTTATTCACTTCATTGTAAAACTTCAGACTGGTATTGTTCATCTCTTTTATCATCTGCCCCTATTTAAGGAGCACATTTTCTAATGAGAGTTTTAGGAGGATTTATAATAAATAAATAAAATAAAAATAACTTTTATCGCGATAGGTTGAATTTTAAGAGAATTATAAGATCGTTAACAAAAACAATCACAGTCGATTCTAGTTCCCCTTTCTAGTTCAGTTTCGAAAGGAGAAAAAAAGTAGGCAGAGAACTGATGTCAGTTGTAGGGCTTCGAAATCATATGAGAAGAAAAGGAAGGGAGTTTTTTTACGATTTTTACAGTGAGTAGGCAGCTACACGCGTTGCTTTTATCTATTCAATTCTTTTAAAGAAGTTAGTTATTTTATTAGTTTATTAGTTATTTGAAATTAGTTACTGTTTGGTTAACATAGCCGTGAGAATGAATTTTGTTTTCGCGGTGTGTTGTTTAACTGGGATTATAATATACTGAAAAAGATACCAGTCTATTGAAGAAAAGAAAATACTCTCACATCTAAGAAAACTGAGATACCTTTCTAGTCATTCTCAGATTATTTCTTATCAGAATACTTAAATAGCCCAACCAAACATAAATTCCATAATTTCATAACTTTTTGTGGTATAAAGCAAATTTCAAAAATTTCTTCTAAAAATTAAAAAAAAAAATGTTTCGTGTCTTTCATATATTGTTCTAATAGTAATGGAAACGTTGCTATTCAATTTGGATTATTTTGAAAGCCACAGATTCGTTGAAAAGCATACTTTCACATATAAGTAGAACAGAATCATCGCTCTGATAACCAATAGGTTCTTTTCTTCGTGGGATTATGATGGACAGTAACATGATGGAGAAACAAGCAATATGATGCAAGCATATATTCCGCAAGTCCGCAGCGCTTCTGGCTCAGCCCGCAAAAAGGGCATAGGGCGACGTAAAGTCTGCCAGGAGGGTCGGGCTGCGTCCCTCATATCATATCATTCCTCAAGCTTTCTGAAGCATTGCGTAGGTACTGCACGCCATATCTCTTGAAGAATGACCCACAAATCCATAGGTTCACTAATGCATTTAACTTGATACTGAAAGCACGCTGAAATGCAGTCCTCAGATATCCTACCCTGAGGTTAAGACTGAGACATTTTATGATGTGAAATTCAAACATTTTTCCTTCAGCTGTAATCTGTAGTCTACAGACCTTTCTAATGGCGGCGTAATATCTTGTTTAATGAGCCTGCTGCCGTTTTACGTAATGAACAGATGCAAATAATCTACAAACATGATTAACTAGTCTTCGTTCGTCAAAAGCTATGGAGCTAGTATGATTCTTAATATTTCCCATCTTAAAACATCAAGCGCCACAGAACAGAGCTACTATCGTTCTGGACTGTTCATTGCTATAACACAGAGTCAGCCGAATCATTGAGGTGATTTCCATCTGAGAAATCGTCTATCAGCTTAAAACATTTCGAACTTTGATATGATATGTTTCAAGTCATCATCCTGTTTCGTGGATTTCGCAAGTGAAAGAAATAGGAAGAATTCCACCACAAACCAATAATGAAACCCAGGTAGACCATCTACTCTATTTATTATCTGTTACAGATGAAAGTTTCTGAAATTTCTCACTCCGTCTTCGATCACCCGAAAGACTTCGGATCCCCTCACTCGAGTAAAATCTTAATGCATTCTCATAATGTAGGTGTGATCATAACGTTAAAAAATAAGGAAAATATACATATATCAGGAATACGATATTTATAAATAGTCGCCCACACTCTAACTGCCACACCGTAGGAGCCGGGTTCCAATTTCGGAGACCACGTGGA